GTTGGGGCTATGGGTGGGGGGCAGGGGGGTCCCGGGGGTGGTGGTGTGGGGAGTGGGGTTCAAAAACACCTATAAATACATCTATTTTCTAACATTTTTCTACACCTTTTCTCCAATTCTTCTCAAACTCTTCTCCATCTTCATCTTCTCTTATTATCCTACATTCCTACTTAATTACTTATACTGTTATACATATACCATTTTAAATATGGAAAGTACATCTTCCCTTATGCAAAACAATTTTGACAAGTGGAAGGACCCGAAGACCGGACTGTGGTGGGCAACTTGCAGGTGGTGCAAGAAAGACTGTTGCTTGGGGCGTTCATACGGATACGGGATGCCAATAAAACATATGAAGTCCTGTGACAAAGGGAAAACAACAACCAACGGTGGCGGAAATCCCAATTGATATTCATTACAATTTACAAAATGTATTTCGTATTGTTATTTTTTTCTCAATTCTCAAATGTAGTTCTTATTTCAAATAAATGCACTTGAACTTTGTTTTTAATAGCAATTTTTATATATATAAGTAATAAAAAAAAAATTGTATTGACCCGGCCCAGCCCGGCGGGTGGCCCGACCCGTGACCCGGGCGGGTGACCCGGCCCGAACCGGAACCGGTCATTGACCGGGCCGGTCCCGGGCCTACCCTTATAGGACCCGAGGCCCGACCGGGCCTTGACCCGGCCCGGGCCCGACCCGGCCCGGGTCCATGCCTACCTTAGCCTTGGTGATCTTGACAAGTTAAATCCCTTCGAGCTTGGGCTCGCCAACCTCGTCCCAACACAACGGTGTCCTGCATTTCCTCCCATACAATGCCTCGTATGGAGGCATGCCAATGTTTGCCTGACAACTTTTGTTATAGGCAAACTCAATGTTCTAAAAGGCGTTAGGCGCTAGTTGGGCGCCAGCCCAACGCCTAGCGCCTAGGCGGCTAGGCGGGCGCCTAGTCGGGGACTTGTCGGAGACAAAGAAATTGCATTTTTATCTATACCTTTGCATAAATATGATAAGTAATATTGTAGTTTTTTGTGTATAGAATACATATATACATTAACATACATGAATGATAGAATTATCGCATTTAATCATACCTAGTATATGATAACTAATCATTTAACTTCATTATGTTATAAATATAAATAATGATGAAATTTAGGTATATATAAACACATATGTAGTTTTATCTTAATTTACAACTTCATATCTTAAAAACTTATGTTTGGCGAATCTAGACGGCCTAGGCGGCCGATTAGGCGCTCTAGACGGACAACTAGGCACCATAGGCGGCCGACTAATTCACCTAGTAAATTACAATCGGTCACCCCTTTTTATCTAGAAGTGTACAATCGGTCCCGAAAGTTGTATTTTTAGACTGTTTTAAATATATTTTATTTTATCGGGTCAAATAAAATATATTATGTGTTTTAAATCATTATAACATGTAGAATGAATATACATTCACCAACTTTAATTTATAAGTCTCCGAAATACAATTCGAACTGATAACTAGTAAATTACAAATACCGGTAATTGGGCCCATTTGACCAATCAGTCAACACTATGCCTTTTCCTTGGCCCAAATAAAGTATCCACCACTATATAAATATTATCTCGGGAATATCGGGCGGTCCCCGCTCTCGGTATGGGCCCCACGTGAAATTTACTATTCACGCGAAAGAATAAAAATTTACAACTTCGTAAATTCATTAACCATTCCAATAAGAGATGTTACCCGAAATAGGACTAAAAGAGTTTGAAAATTCCAAATTAGGACCGCCATGTTTTTTTCCCAAAATAGGACTAATTACTGCCATGGTTTGGCAGTATCAGACCTTAAATTGACAGTATTTTCCAAACTTGGCAGTAATTACTCCTATTTTGGGGATAAAAACATGATAGTCCTATTTTGGAATTTTCAAACTTTTTAGTCCTATTTTGGGAACTTTCCCTTCCAATAAGGTTCATTACATTATTTACTTAAAAGTAAATTACATTTTGGAACGGTGTCGCACCATGGATCGATTTGGCTCTGATACCATGTTAAGATCTGGGTTTCCATCCTAAAAGGTCAACCTGATAGGAGGAGTAGCCTATGTGTTAATATAGTATTTTGTTCATCCAAAATTTTCCGGTGTGGAACATTTAACAATATCCTCTATATAAATTGATACCCTGTATAAGTTTATGGTCGGTCATAAATACCACCGGTTCTCACGTGTTCTCATTTTAAGAGGGGTTCTCACTAAAATGCTTCCCTCTATATATATATATATATATATATATATATATATAGAGAGAGAGAGAGAGAGAGCTACTCCTGTTCGGAATTTCCGGACAGGATCCCCGTCCGGCCTCCTCCATATAGGGGCCTTCCCGATGGTATTTTTTGCTCCAATTTTTTGTGTATGTTCCTCATCAAGTCTAGTTCATACATACCAAAGTTGAGAAAAATATTCAACCGGAAAGGTCATCAAATGATTTTTACAAGTTAACTGGTCAGGAAAATACATTTTCCGGAATATTTGTGTATGTGTGTGTGTGTATAGGAAAAACTTCCGGTAAGGTATACCTTACCGGAGCCGCCGTGCGGCCTCCACGTTTTGAGGGTCTCTCCGATAGAATTTTTCGATGAATTTTTTTTAGCATGTTCTTTATCAAGTCTAGTACATCCATACCAAATTTCAACAAAACATTCAATCGGGAAGGCAGTCAAACGATTTTTGGAAGATAACTGTGTTTTATATGTATATAAAGGGTGCAGTTATCTTCCAAAAATCATTTGATTGCCTTCTCGATTGAATTTTTTGCTGAAATTTGGTATGGATGTACTAGAATTGATGAAACACATGTTCAAAAAATTTCATCGAAAAATTCCACCGGGAAGGCCCTCAAAACGTGGAGGCCGCACGGCAGCTCCGGTAAGGTGTACCTTACCGGAAGAGTTCCCTATATATATATATATATATATATATATATATATATATATATATATATATATATATAGAGAGAGAGAGAGAGAGAGAGAGAGAGAGAATACTCTTCCGGTCAGGAATTCCTGACCGGAACCGCCGTCCGGACGGCGGCGTTTGGCCACCTTCCGAGTGGAATTTTTCGTTGAAATTTTTATGACATGTTCTCCATCAAGTCTAGTTTATCCACAAAAAATTTCAGCCAAAAACTCATTCGGGAAGGTCGTCAAATGATTTTTAAAAGTTAACTGGTCCGGAAAATTCATATTCCGGACCAGTTAACTTGCAAAAATCTTTTGACGACCTTCCCGATTGAGTTTTTGGCTGAAGTGTTTTGTGGATAAACTAGACTTGATGGAGAACATGTCATAAAAATTTCATCAAAAAATGCCACCGGGAAGGCGGCCAAACGCTGCCGTCCGGACGGCGGTTCCTGTCCGGAATTCCGGTCATGAAAATTTGTGTGTGTGTGTGTGTGTGTGTGTGTATATATATATATATATATAGAGAGAGAGAGAGAGAGAGAGAGTGAGAGAGAATTATTCAGGTACCACTCCCCTGTCCGGCCACCTCAATTTGAGGTGGTTCTCGGTGGTATTTTTTTCCCAAATTTTGTGTGTATGTTCCTCATCAAGTCTAGTTCATCCATACCAAATGTGAGCAAAAAACTCAATCGGGAAGGTTGCAAAATGATTTTTGCAAGTTCACTGCGTTTTATATGTATATTCCGGACCAGTTAACTTGCAAAAATCATTTGACGACCTTCCCGATTGAATTGTTTGCTCAAATTTGGTATGGATGAACTAGACTTGATGAGGAACATACACAAAACATTTGGACAAAAAATACCACCGGGAACCACCTCAAATTGAGGTGGCCGGATGAGCCTCCTGTCCGGCCTGGCCGGACAAGAAAAGGATTCTCTATATATATATATATATAATGTGTTACTCTTCCATCACACTAAATATTAGATAGCATAAAATAAAACTAATTTAATTTAAGACATACTCCGTACATGCAAATTTATTACTATATTCTTAACAAACTTTGCAAGTAATCATTATGTGTTGAAAGGTTTAACGTTCAAACTACTAATCAGGTTCTTTTTTTTATCGTCAAACGGGCCTCTATTCATATTAAAAGATTCAGGATCATTACATCAAGCAAAAGGAAAATAAAACTGACACCAACTGAAACTTCAACAACTACGAATGTAACCCTATGGTGAGACTTTGAGACGGTCACCCCTGAAAGAGCAACACGAATCGCTAACCATGTAGTGGGCTTGACACAGCCAAACCTATTCCCATAGATCCAACCAAACCCAATGACATAAAGAGAGGCAAAAAACTCAAACAAACTGTCAAAACCAACAACAAAAGTGGACACAAGAAAACAAATAACAAACAGATAAAAACTACAAGAAAAGCGTTCACGAACTCTAGCACCTCGTACATCTCATGGTGGTGGTTCAGGAGGAGGTCTTACCACCGGTACCATGCTAATTGATACTCCGTGACCTTTGTCTGCCAAAGGCCATGCATCAATCCTCTGTCCCTGCATAACCAAACTCATCCCTGCTTCATGCAACCAGAGTAAACGGATAGGCGACGCCGATCTTCTCCAACGACGACAACAATACATCATCCTCGAACCTTGACCACAACGCCGATCTCCTTGAGCCATGACAGCAAATTCGCCCTTCGAGTATGAAGCACAAACAACAGCAGTCGTCCTTCGATTAAAATCGAAGACGGAAATAGCGGTCGTCCTTCGATTAAAATCGAAGATGGAAAAAGCGGTCGTCCTTCGATTAAAATTGAAGACGGAAAAAAACTCCAAGCGACCGTAACCCTAGAGAGAAGCGAGAGACGATCGAACTCCAACCTCCTACTAATCAGGTTCTTAAAAAATCAAATCAATTTAGGGCGATTTTAAATTTGTAACTCAAAAAGGACCCTTGCCCAGGGCATCTTTTTTTTGTTTAAAACGAGTGTATAAACAATGTCTGGCCCAGTGCAGGCATTCGGTCCATTTTCCATTGCCCAATTTCATGCTTGCCGCAAGTAGGCAACTCATCGAAGAACGCCACAGCCCCACACCGCTCGCATCGCCGGGCGCCGCAGGGACGGCTGATCGCTCCGCCGCTCGCATCGCCGGAGTCTGTACGGCCACTTGTTGGCAATCTCATAATCTGCCCTTTGGCCCTTTCTGCAGCTCTGCTTCTCGCGACTCTCAGGTAAGTTTTTCTGTTTTTAATTGTTACATTTCTTATTTTGATTTACGTAATAATTTTTATTTTAATTTGTTTTAGTGTGTCATTTAATGCGTTTGTGTGATTTGAAATGTGAAATCGAAAATTAGGAATTACAAATGTGATTTGTGATTACTTGGAGCTACTGTTTACAGCCTGAAGTGAGTCTCAAACATCCTCTTCGTGATTGTTTTAGGGCTCTTCCCTCGTCTAACTTCGAGTGCTTCTACTTTTTAGCTTTTACATTTATTCTTAGTCCAAGATTTATCAATCTGGAGTTACTGGAGTTACTTTTATTGAATTAATTAAACTAACCGGTAGATCTGTACGTTTTTCTCTTTAAAATTTCATTCTTTTTACATATTAATTTTTTTTCATCAAAACTATCTTGATATACTCTTTTAATATTACTTATTGATTTTGCAAAAGCAGAAAAAATTTGTATTAGGCCAATGCATTTATTAATTCAAAAAATTGTTGTACTCGATGTTTCCCCATGTTTCAAATTTGAAAAAGATTATGCGTGCTTTAATTATATTTGTCTTATATAGCGACTGAACTAACCCAATCAGCCCTTTTGATTTAAGCATGCTAAGAATTTGGAGGCACTCGAGAAAAATTATGTGGTCTATTATAATGCATTGAACTAAAGTCTGGGTGGAAAAAGCATAAACGAAACAAAAATGATAGGAGAAAAAAGTGTTGCCAAGAGTTGAAACCAAATACTACGTATATTAGAAGAAAAATGCATACCTTTACTTTGTGGCTTAGAGGATGACATTGGAAAATGTGGCCTGATTTGTTTATATTAAACCTTGGTGGCCCTATGCAGCTGAGGGATATGTTCATGGCTGACACTGGATTTACATTGGGGATAAGTCAAATTTAAGTCAATATTTTTTAAATATTTCTACTTGTAAGTTATAGATGTGAAACTATTAGTGTAGCTTTGACAATTAGAGATTGAGTCCAAATTATGTTGAATCATTTTCTTTGGTTCTAAACCATGTAGACTTATTGTATTAACATTCATCAAGACATTGTTCAATATGCCCATAAGAGTATAATGTTAAGTCCATGTCATAACATTATAGGATGGAAAAAAGGCGTTACAGCATTTGTAGGCTAACAACTTGCATGATTCAGGTATATTCAGTCCCACATGGATGCTCAAATGCAAGACGTTATCAGTCCACAAGTAAAAGCAACCCTACATCTTGGATCAGAAACATATTCTGTTGAGGTGAACAAGGGAATTGTATCTGAGCAACTGGTCTCAATGAAAGAAAAGAGCATGAGAATCTTAAAGGACTATATCACAAAGCATAATGTTCCAAATGATGTCCCCGATGAACCAGAAGAAAATTCTTCTGAAGATGAAGAAAATGATTCCACTGAGAAGCCTTATACAAAGTCTAAAAAGAGAAAGTAAATTCTTATTTAAGCTAGCTAACAATATATTTTTAGATGAATAGACAGGGAACTATTCTTGATTGGTTTATGTTTCTTGTCCACACCGTATGTGTTATTAAAAAATGAAACTTGATATATGATATAAAGCCTTCACATGCTATCTGCATTTTGTTTGAGTTTTGGTTGACACCTCTTTCCGTATCATCTTCTGTTTCTCTTTGTCTATTCAGTACAGATGTTAGGGACAATTTCTTTCTATTAGGTATGTGAAGTTGAATTCAATGACTTGAAAAGGTTGAATTGCAGTTACAATGGCTCTAAGCTGGGAATTTTGGTTAGATGTTGTCAATTTGCAAATCTTTGTCTTCTAATAAAAGCTCTTTATCAAACTGTGATAGATGCTCTAGTCAACCTTACTGTTTCACCAAATCTATTCATCTCTTATATTTGTCAGTGTTTTGTGATGTATGGATGTCTAATTCAGTACTTCATATTGGTGTATACAATATCTGTAAATTTAGTATTATGTGGTGTTCGTCAATTATTTTACAAAAATGCATTCTGCCTTTAAGTCCAATGGGGCAGACCCAGCCCAGGTTCTTGAGTTGTCCATTTTTTACAGGAAACCAGATTGGTTTTCCAATTTTGCACCGGAACAGGTATTGGAAACTTGTCAAAATCAGTTGTGGATATTTTTTTTGTTTGGTGGAATTTGACCTTGCTCACCGTAGGTGGAAACCATTGCGACACTGGGTAATGATGATGGTGGTGGTGGAATTTGACTTTGCACTTTATGTTTTGAGCAATATTGGACTCTGCACCTCATTTTCAAAATCATTAATGTTTGCATCATTACTCCAAAATTTGGAAAGGAATGAGATGCAAAGTCAAATGCTTTTATACTGAAATGTTGTGCAAAACCAAATTCTCTCTTTTCGCTTTTGAAAAAATGGGCTAAGAGACTAGACCGAAGCCAGCATGTTATACCCAGTTAAGATACCACTCAAGTGACTTGAAACTAATTGAGTCAACCCATCAGATACATGCAATATTTAGGGCGCACCCTGGTCACAACAAATGAATTTAATGTCCTGAAGCTGCCTGAAATGTAATGAAAAGTTACAGTCCACATTTTTTACATAATAGGACTTCATGTTGACGCCAACCCCAAAATCTTTTGGGATCAAGGCTGGGATGTTGTTGTTGTAGAACTTCATGTTGATGAGTTAAGAGATCTTTTTATACTGCGAAGGACACCCCACATGGAAGTTGAAATGATGAATAGAATTACTCCAGTCACAATGGCATACTTGAGCCCGACGTTCACCAGCAAGTTTACCAAGAGGCCAGCCAGCACTACACCAACAAAGTTTGCTGAAACAGCAGACCAGAATGGCATTTCCAGGACTGATGCAATAATCGCTCCGGTCCAAGCTCCAGTTCCTGGGAATGGTACAGCCACAAAGAGCATTAACCCGAGCCATTGAAATTCTACTACAGGACCAGCCTTCTTCTTCGCCCAATCAAAGAACATCTCCAGAAACTGGGTTGCTGACTCATTCTTCCCTGCCAGGAAGGTTGCCAACCTCTTCAAGTAAAGCACAATGAAGGGCACTGGAACCATGTTCCTACAATCACAAAAAACAATAAATTAACTTAACATGTGTCAAGCTGAAATCATATGCACGGTGGATTTCTAATCTAGACAATACTAGATAGTGTTGCTCAAGAACCAATACAAAACAACAATAACAACAACATTACCCTATTGTTGCAAAGGCTCCCATTTATGGTGGGTTAAGGGTGGGTCGAATGTAAGCAGCCTTACCCCTGTACTTAAAGCACATAGAGACTGTTTCCAGATGACCCATAATAAAAAACGAATAATGATCAATAATCCTGCTACTTTGACATGCATAAGTGTAACAATGCGAAGGGGAAAAAATCAAAACCGTGCATGAAATTCACAAGTAAAAATTCTTATATTTTTAGAGAGTAGTGGTTTCACACTTTCAACTAAGGGCATTCGTGACTTCGGTTTAGTAAAAAAAAATTGGTTTATTTCGGCCTCTTTTGGCATATTAGGGTCAGTTTGGTCAGTTTTAAAGAATAATCCATAACCTAAAGAACTGCCTAGGGTTTGGTCGGTTTTGACGGTTTTAGTTGGTTCAGTTTCGGTTAGCTAATTGTTAGGGTTTAAATCGCCTCCTTTTTTGTTCTGCCCCTGTTTGAAGTGTCCATATCTGACACCAACCCAGACATTTTCAATGTTAGTCTTAATTCTTAAAAGTGCTGTTTCTAAGCCCCTATAGTATTGTGCATAATACTTACTAAGGGCATGTTCACTGGATTGAAACTTGGGTGGTATTTTGGTATTTAATGTATTAATGTTCTGGTCTGATTCCATATGTGACTGGCATTATTCCAAAAGGTAATGGAGCCATGCTTTTGATACACCATCCCTAGTTTTATCCATGTTGGTGATATACAATGGCGTGTCTCAAAATGTGGGGTTGGCAATTGGCATACACTACAAGTATTTTTAGCTCCCTGCATATATTTGCTAGCTAGGTGAGCCCTAAACTCATATGGGCAACAGTCAGATAACAAAATCAGTGGATGTAGGATCAGAGTGTGGGTCACTTACCCTAAAACAGACAACACAGTAAGGGAAAAGGGCTTCAACTGCAACCAGTAACCCACAGGAATAGCCCCACGAAGCTCAAGGACAGGCAACGTAGCCAAGGCAAACACCACAGCCTCGTCCGCCCAGCCCAGCCGTCTCAAAGCAGTAGCCACCTTCAAACCAATACCGGACGTTCTGATAGAATCCGCCGCCGCCTTAGCATCCTTAGAAACAGCAAAGAGCGCAACGGAGACAGAAGCCCAGAAGAGCACCCAGAATAGGAACTTCGCCGGTTTCTCCACATTCACTGAGAACCCCTCGTTTTCAATTGTTTGAAGAACATCGTCCGTAGAGGTTCTCGGAATCGAAAATCTTGGGAACTCTGAGTTCTTGGAATGACCTAGAGAAGCAGATTCCAGAAGTTTAGTGAAACATTTGGACTTCAGTTGTAAGGGTCCTTCGTTGACCAAATAAAAGCTCGTTTTGGAAGATGGTAATTTGGATTGATGGGAGCTTCCATGGAGGATGATCAAGCGCGCCGGCGAGTGTAAGAAAGAAGTGGCCATTTATTCAGATTGTGAAAATGAGCGAGGAGCCCTTATGGAAATGCATTTTGGGCAATATTTTTTCGAAAAAAAAAATAAAATAGATTTTTACTCCTCTCCCCCCCCCCCCCTCTCAACCACGTGCGACCCTCTTCCCAAGAACCAATACGGCAGTGTCATCTTTGGTTGAGGCTTCAAAGAAAAGGTAATATTGAACACATCTGTAAGTAGTATTGTTGAATGTCACCCCTATTATGTGTTTTGTGTTTGTTGTTAACTTTTATTTTTATTTTTTAAATCATTGTGGTATATTTCGAAGTTTACTCTTGAAATATTGAGTTTCATGAACTGTAATTGTGGTTTGGGATCCTTAAGGGGCTGGATTGTAGGATTTTGGTTTTGTTTGAGAGATCGAAATATAATGTCTATGGAAAGGGGGTTTAGGTTGTACAATTGATTTTGATGGAAGTCCTTTTGTGTATTTAATTATTTATATATGGCGGAAAATACCGCTCATAATGTATCCTACAATTCTTTTTCGGATCCTTGTGATCCGCATCTAAGCAACGCGCTCCGCCAATTTCACTCGTCGCTTTCAACACTATCACAACCACATGACAACTGACGGGAAATCCATCATATTTTTGGAGTACCAAAATATAAATCTCTTTTAAAAGCATAAATAAAATAATTACTCCGTATTACATACCGATATATACATACAAACACATGTGCACACACATATGCACCAAAATATCACAAGAATGGATAGGCACATACTTTTTGTGAACTTGCGAATGGACTTGCTTGCAGAATTAGTTATCCTCATAATACGAATTAAAGAACACCGAATTATATTGAACCATCTATCTATCTACCAGGGTCAATTTATATGTATGTAGATGATCTATATATACCCTGTAGCCAGGTGTTAAGCTAAACCTAATTATATATTCATATCATATATATATATATATATATATATATATGACACGAAGGATTTTATAAAAGTAACATGTACGTAAAATCTAGTAAGTTGTACAATGTAAGTTGTACAATGTAGCAAGCATTAAAATGCATTAATAAAAAATGAATTTAGACACATGCCCTTCATATACTATTTTGACCATGTAGAAGTTCGTATCTTAAAATAGTATACGAAGGACATGTGTCTAAATTCATTTTTTTAGACACAGGCCAGGTGTTACTATTTTAAATGTAGAAGATCCTATCTTAAAATGGTATACGAAGGGCATGTGTCTAAATTCAAATTTTTTTATTAATGCATTTTAATGCTTGCTACATTGTACAACTTACAAACTCAACAAAGTTACTAGATTTTACATACATGTTACTTTTATAAAATCATTCGTGTCATATATATGATATGAATATGAGTATATAATTAGGTTTAGCTTAACACCGGGCCTGGCTGTAGGGTATATATATATAGCTCATCTACATACATATAAATTGGTCCTGGTAGATAGATAGATGGTTCAGTATAATTCGGTGTTCTTCAATTCGTATTACAAGGACAACTAATTCTGCTAACAAGTTCATTCAGAAGTTCACAAAAAGTATGTGCATATCCATTCTTGTGATATTTTGGTGCATATGTGCGCGCGCATGTGTTTGTATGTATATATTGGTATGTAAAATGTAAACAAATTCGTATCAAATTATTGAATTGACTTTTCATAATAAAGGGTGCTTAAGTTAAGGAAAATGAGAGTTTACATGTTTTTTTACATGTCATGTAAATTTATCGGTATCACAATGTAGACACACATTGCTTGAGTTGTGTGTCTACATTAAATGTATCAACCATTTTAAAAATGATTGATCATAGATAATTCATCCGTATCCAGGGGCGGACCATAGTACAGACCCAGGGGGTTACCGCCCCTCCAACAAAATTTAGTTTTAGTGTGTATATATAAGAAAAATAATTTTCGCCCCTTCAAAAAATAATTTTCGCCCTCAAATAATATTTTGAACCCCCAACATGGATTTCCTGGGTCCGCCCCTGTCCGTATCACAGCTAATTCAATTCGTTTAAAACATGTAGAAGTTATCGGAAATTTTGTACTACTTATATGTGATATAGACAAAATTTACGAAGCATGTGCAAAAAATGAATACACTTAACATTTCTGTTAAATTAAATGAGTTTTTATTTAAATAGGAGTTTAGTTGTTAAGGTAATAGGATTTGGAATTTTATTAGAATGTTTTATTTTGTTTTTTACAACATGCATTAGTATTTAAAATTTAAATATGTAATGAATAACAAATTTAAAATAAAATGATTGAAAATAAAATGTTTTATTATATCAGAAATCAAAATGATTGAAAATAAAATATTACAAAAAATCATCATCAAAGTTAGAGAATATTTAAAAAAAATGCATTAAAGATCGATGTATTTAATTGGACTGAAATTTTCTTGTATGTTGCTTAATGGTGCAATTAAAATAAAAGATATTTACAAAAATATAACTCCATAAATGTATTGATTATATTAGTAATTTTAATCAAACAACTTATGTTTAATTCTTACACTTAAATGACTACAACAACTATACTGTAGTAAAATTGAATCATATTTTTGTAATTAAATTATATTTGAACAATTTTTTTTTTAAAACTCTTTATTTAGAATTTTTTTAAATCTCAATACATTGATTTTCTTGCAAGATTTTATTTATCTATTTAACCTATTTGGGAGATGTGTAGTAATTTGAACATTAAAAGAGCATCCATACACGACCTCGCCTAAATATAGAACGTTCATGATGAATGTCGTTACTGTCGTATCTTAATCGAAATTTTTTAACTATAATAGGAAATGTAATGTTATATTGCACCATTAAGCAACATATAAGACATTTATTGCTTCACATAAATTGCACCATTAAGCATTATATCAGAAATTTATTAGGATTATTAGCTTATTTTATCTCAACCTATCATCAAATCCACAAATCTATCATATTCTTTAACTTTTATATATATATATATATATATATATATATATATATATATATATACAAGACTCAAACTTCATCTTGTTTAACAATTATGGTTTTCTTCTTTGTTTTTTTCAAAATTACAAATTTTAGCAATGTCAATAAGATATACATAATACAAGTTTTTAATCTTAAAACTAGAAAGAAGTGAAAAATATGAAATATAAATATGATTTGCTCTTGAGTTTTTCTAATTCATCTGCTGAAACTTCAATTGTGAGAAAAATTGAAGTTTGAGTCTTTTTTAAATAAAAGTAAAAGTATGAGATAGATTTGTGAATTTGATGATAGTTGAGGATATATTTAGCTAATAATCCATATACTTGTATTACTTATATCTTATTGGCATTGCTAAAAATTTGTAATTTTGAAAAACACAAAGAAGAAAATCACAATTGTTGAAAAAGATGAAGTTTGAGTCTTTTTTAATAAAAGTGAAAGAATAGGATGATTTGTGGATTTGATGATAGTTTGGGATAAAATAAGCTAATAATCCTAATAAATTTCTGATATGGTGCTTAATGGTGCAATTTATTATTTGAAACAATAAATTTCTTATATGTTGCTTAATGGTGCAATTTAATATTACGGATCCGAACATAGTTAAAAATTTACGATTAAGATACGACAGTAATGACGTTCATCATAAACGTTCCATATTTAGGTGAAGTCATGTATGGGTGCTCTTTTAATGTTCAAATTATTGCGCATCTCCCAAATAGGTTAAATAGATAAATAAAAACTGGCGGAAAAATCAATGTTTTGACATTTAAAAATTTTCTAAATATAGAGTTTAAAAAAATACATTATTCAAATATAATTTATTTACAAAAATATGATTCAATTTTACTACAATATACTTGTTTTAGTCATTTAAGTGTAAAAATTAAACATAAGTTATTTGATTAAAATTACTAATATAATTGCTACATTTATGGAGTTATATTTTTGTAAAAAAAATTATTTCAATCCAATTAAATATATCTTTAATGCATTTGTTACTATTCTTTAACTTTGATGATGATTTTTTTTGTAATAATTTATTTTCAATCATTTTGATTTTTGATATAATAAAACATTAACCTTTAACTGTAATTTTTAAATTTGTTATTCATTACATATTTAAATTTTAAATACTAATGCATGTTTTTTAAAAAAACTTCTAATAAAATTCCAAATCCTATTACCTTAACGACTAAACTCCTATATAAATAAAAACTCCTTTAATTTAACAGAAATGTTTAAGTGTATTTATTTTTTGCACACGCTCCGTAAATTTATATCACATATAAGTAGTAAAAAAATTCCGATAACTTCTAATTTTTTAGACGAATTGAACTAGTTGTGATACAAATGAATTATATGTGATCAATCATTTTTTAAATGATTGATACATTTAATGTAGACACACAACTCAAGCAATGTGTGTCTACATTGTGATACCGATAAATTTACATGACATGTACAAAAAACGTGTAAACTTTCATTTTCCTTAACTTAAGCACCCTTTATTATGAAAAGTCAATTCAATAATTTGATACGAATTTGTTTTTGTTTTACATTGTTCTAAAAAACTACAAGTAGGTGTGCATCTTTTTAATTTATAGAGATAATTTTATACGTTATTAAAATAAAAGGTGTTTATCAAATGTAGCGTTTTAAGTATAGTGACAATATAATAATAGTAACTTCAATAATAATAATTTATATTCAGTTCTTAAACTTAAATAATCATATTACTAATAAACTCATAATAACTTGAGTCATGTTGTTATAATTTATAAATAAGTTTGATTTCAGGAATACTTTTGAAAAAATCACCAATTTAGATATTTTGAAACTAAAAAGATATACAGAAGCCTATTTGAAATTATATATTTTTTAAATTGTAAGTAAAAATGGTAAAATGCGTAGTTAGAGTAACTAAAATCTATGTTACATGAATAGAAATACGCAGATATGATGATACACAAATATATATCATGTGAGGTGAAAAATATGAGCCCAAAAATATATTTGCAAACAATAAAAATATACAAGTTAATTTTCAATAAACATTGAAACTAATAATTCTTTAAGTTCATAAATAAAATATGAATAGTAATTACAAATCACAAGAATGATAAATTTTGAATAAAAAACTAGAAATATATTCATAAAGCATACACAATTGAATAACATTAGATATCTATGGAGCAAGCAGGATGTAACACCGTCCCCAAATGTATTTACTTTTAAGAGTATAATGTATTGAACCTCATGGAATGGTTAATGAAAATACGAAGTGGTGAATTTTTAATACTTCTTTTGCGTGAATAATAAATTCGCACGTGGGACCCACACCGGGAGCGGGGCCGCCCGAAATCCCCGAAACCATATATTTTATTTATCTTGGTCAAGATAATATTTATATAGTGGTGGCTATTTCATTCGGACCATGGAAAGGTCCAGAGTTGACCGATCGGTCAAAAGAAGCCCAAATATCGGTATTGACAATTTAACCGATAAAAGCCCGAAATTGAATTTCGGGGACTTATAAATTAAAGTTTGAGAATGTATATTCATTATAAAGGTTATAATGATTAAGAAAACATAATATATTTTATTTGACCCGATAAAATAAAATATATTTAAAACAGTCCGAAAAATACAACTTTCGGGGCCAATTGTACACTTCTGGACAAAAAGGGTTGACCTCCCACATGAGTGGGGGCCAACCCACGAATTTGGCCATACAAAACCAAGTGGTGGGCGGCTGGATTGGAAAGGAGGAGGTGGGAGGTGTTGGGGTTGAATAGATGGGCATCAAAGGTACATTAGATGGCCCCCATCCTTACTCATTGGATCAAAGAGACAAAAACCAACCCTCACCCACTCTCTCCCTCACTTCCTGCGGCCAGCACCCTCCAAGCAAGAGCAAAGAATCCTCCATCATTCTCCTCCATTGTTGAAGAGAGCTTTACAAGAAAGAATACCAAGAAAAGGAGCTAAAGTGCTAAAAGTGTGAAAGGATTAAGGTAATAACCTTATCAAAACTTTCCTTTATTTTTCTTCTATCATATGAGATATATATCATATGAAGAACCTTGAGAGTTGTTCTACATGATTTAAGTGTAGAATAATGGGTGGGAGAGTGGTTCTAAGTCCAAGAACGGATTTAGAAGCCAAACCGACAAGTTCCCCGGAAAATGACCTTTTAAGGGTTATGGGTATTGATTAAGGTTTTATGATGTTAAAACCTTGTTAGGAACTTGATATAAAGTATCTTTGAGCTTCGCCGGAGTTTCGCCGGAGTTGGTCAAAGTTGACCGGAGTTGGTCAAAGTTCACCGGAATTAGTCAAAGTTCAACCGCGGAGCGTAGAACACGCTTAAGCTCACTTAAGGTGAGGATGACCGACTATATTGCTTATAATTATTGGGTTAATTTCATAAGATTACCTAAATGAATTATATGTGTTTGGCATGATTTATTTTTAATAAAAAATGCCTAAATGAGATTATTATTGTTTATAAGCAAATAAAATGCATGATATACAAATTTATGAATAAATTGTGTATGATTATGTGTTATGAATACAATGGTATAGTAGTTGTGTAAACTATAAATTTAATTGTGATAAATATACTTTTACCTCATGTAAGGAAGCCATGGAAGGATAAAAGTGATATTTTGATATTAAAGCCAAGTTATACTTGAATGTGGAATTAAATTGAAATATTCAAATTATTATGAATATGCATTTGGGTCATTAAGATTAAATGACTAGTATAGGATACTAGTCGGGAATGTTAGTTCAATAGTTTTTGGGAGCCAATCCCAAGACTTTGGAGTTGAGTAACCTTAAAAGATATGTTTAAGGTGGACTTTGTGAACTCAAGTTACTTTTGGAGTAAGCCTTAAGGGTTACTCGAAATGGATGGAACCTAGACTAAGAAGTGGTTTAGGGATTAGTGACGTGACTATGAGCCGAGCTCTAGCACGTGGTAGTATGACTATGAGCCGAGCTCTAACAAACGTAGGGTGACTATGAGCCGAGCTCTAGCACAAATTAGTATGACTATGAGCCGAGCTCTAGCAAACGTGGGGTGACTATGAGCCGAGCTCTAGCACAAATTAGTATGACTATGAGCCGAGCTCTAGCAAAAGTAGGGTGACTATGAGCCGAGCTCTAGCACAAATTGATATGACTACGAGCCGAGCTCTAGCATGGAGAACATGAGTTAATTATAAATGAGTAACATCTTGGGTTGAGGGTCTTGGAAATTGAAACTTTGATTATACTTAGTATAGTTGTCATTGTACTTGTCAAATGCTTCCAAGTACTGACCTCCCCTTCACGGGGGAGGCCACCTCACAGTTTCAGGTAGGGAGTAGAGCTTGCTACTACCGCTCGTTGCTTCGGGGAATTCAAGGAGGAAGGCGTGGTTCGTGCTTCTTCTGTTTTCGTTTTGAAAACAATTTAAATAATGCTCATGGATATTATTTCGAATATTTATTTGGGGGCTTGTATGCCAGTGGTTGCCACGTGTGGGTTGAATATTTGTAATTATGTTTCCGCTGCTTAACTAAATATTTTACGTTATGGTTGTTTATGGATGTACTATGTGTGAATGGTATCCAAGACGCCTAGTATAGTATGGATGAGTTGGACTGCGGTTGACTATTCGTACTGTACGGCGGGTTGTTGACGTGTCCGGTAGGTCCGGGGCGTGACACAGGATTAATGAAGAACATGGAGATTTCAGAACATATCCTTATAGCTCAAGACATGATTCATTCTATTGAGAAAAAAGTTAGAGGAGCTAATGTTGTGATCAAATTAAATATGACTAAAGCATTTGATAAGGTCTCTTGGGCATTTCTTGAAGTAGTTCTAGAGAGGTTTGGCTTTAATGATCATTTCATGGCTCTTTTCTTTTGGGGATCAGGTTCCACTAAACAACATTACCACTGGATGAACCCTGGAAAGATATATGCCTTCCTGTGCATGAACCCTCACAGTGGTAATATTTTAACATTACCACTGTATATATTAGATTGTTATCAGATATTGAGAAAGCCTTTTCACTTAAGTTATGGTGGAAATGGAAACAAAACTCTACACTTTGGGCTAAGTTTCACAATGCTAGATACCCAAGGAATGGCAACATGAATCCTAAAATCACAGTGCATTTGGAGAAGAATATGTCACATTAACAACAGGGGTGAAAACTTATCTGAATTGGATGATAGTGGTAATCTCAATTGGCTTCCACAGAAAGATGGACATCTCTCCTTATCTTCTTCCTACCATGAAATTAGATGGCGGAAGTATGGTACTTTATCTTCACGTTGCATATGGAACAAATGTCATACTTTACCAATCAAAATTTAATTTTCAATGGAAGTTAATCAACAATATGATTCTAGATGCAGAGAACCTTATCAGGTTTAACACTATCATTTACCCCTCAATGTGCCCCTTCTGTAGGAAACGCTCAGAGTCAATTGATCATATCTTTTACTTTTGTCATATAACAAAGGAGGTATGACATTATTTTATGGGTATTCCCGAAATATCATATAGAAGAGATCGTAGCTCCCTAAGACAAATGCTTTTGTGTTGGTGGATCAAGAAAGATCGGATAATCACTCCTAGAGAGGCACTTTTCAGTCAAATATGCCAGGAATAATTTTATGGCACATATGGTAAAGTTATGCTAAATTGATTTGGGGTTCATTGGGTTCTTATCCCACATCTGAATCCATCATTTTCCAAATTAAATTGTTCACTTAAGATTGGTCCAAAACTTTGAAGATTCGAAAGGGTAATACTTGTTGTGTTCATCCAATGCAAGATAATCTTATTTTGAACTCTTTTTAGAATTCTACAACTAGAGTGAGAATGATAAAGTGGGAAAGACCAAAAGACTTACTTAAACTCAATATCAATGCTTCCTTCAGACCACATACTTCGACTGATGGAGTTATGATGCGTGACAAAGAGGGAAAGCTGGTATTTGGTATTAGTTTTGCTCTTCAAGCTACGTCGACGCTAGAAGCAGAGATTGAGGCGTCCCAGGTGGCTCTCAATTGGGTAATGGAGAAGAGCTGTACCGGATTTGAGGTAGAGACGGACTGGACTGTTCGTCCTTGGTGAAGCTCTTGAGCGACTGCAGTTATGACTTGGGAGGGAAGATGGAAAGCTCTCTTGAATGAAATTAAGTAAGATCTAATTCAGGCAGCGGGTGGAATTGGACATGTGCACATGTCTAATGATAGACACATAAATATTCACAAATAAATTATTTCTCTCCTTATTTGAATGATTTTATACAATTTTGGTAAGTTTTTCTCTGCAATGTCAACAACAATGTCAACATTTAGACAGTCTCCTTGACATTGTGGAGAAAAACTTACCAAAGCTGTATAAAATCATTCAAATAAGGAGAGAAAAAATTTATTTACTAATATTTATGTGGCTATTTCTCGTGCCATGTGTGCACTGTGCACATTTTACCATTGGAGATGCTCTTAGACCATTTGGAGTAGTGCAAGAGTCTAAATGTTAAAAATGGATTCCGTCGATATGAAAACAGTGTTTTGACTCTTATTCTCTGCATTCCAGCACCGTCAATAAAATACATTCAACACATTTTTTTACATATCAATTTAGTAAAACATTAATTAAATTATTATAAGTAATGTTTTCCTTTAAAAAAAATCTCTGATTAATTATAAAATAAAAAAAGACACATTTCGATGTAAAAATAAATAAATTTCATTAAAAATAAATTTTTAGAAAAATATTAATTAAAAATAAGTGAAAAATATAATAAATTATTTCAACCGTTGGATTTAAATTTCAGCCGTTGGATCATTTTTTTCGTTCAAACAGTGTCAAAATCATCACAGCTGTTGGATCTACCAAAAAGTTTTTTTTTTAATAAATTTGGTAGTGCATGCTGACCTCATGCTGACATGAACATGACATCAGCGAGGAAAATTACTCAGCTAAGCCGTGTGCTCCCAGCCTGCGCACATCAGGTACGCCCCCACCCCTTTTTCTTTTCTTTTCCATTAACTTTTTGGCTGTCCAAAACTCCTCAAAATTTAACCCCTTCCCTCCCCAAACTCATTTTTAATACCCTCTACACTCCACCAATGTATGAAATTAGGAGTCCAAAAATGCCATTTTCACATTTTGGACTCCTAATACCTCACCACTCCAAATGGTCTTAGAGAAGCAAATATGACCGCCCATCTACTCGCTCAAAACTACTCAGAAAATCAACATTATATGGTTTCCTATTTTCATCTGAAAGATGTTCATCGCATAATAAGGAAATCTTTAATTGCAGATTTGATGGGTTTGCCTTATTTTTGCTAATCATTATTTTTTCGAAGAGGGTTTGGTGTGACCCCCCTCTTCATATGTAATGCTTCCTGATTAATATTACACAGTAGATGTTCCTCGCCTTCTACCCCATTGATTTTGGTGGTTTGCCTACCGGGTTAAAAAAAGAATAACATTAGACTCATATATCTACTTTTGTACATTTGATGAGGAGAACGAATTCAAAAAATAAAATAAATGAATACATCTAGGCATACGAGAATCAAAAGTTTTTCCTTTTGAATAAATAGGCTCAATATTTTCATTTTATATTATAGTCCTCGAGTCTCAAACAATATAATGAATTCTAATTAATAATATCTTCATAACGTCCATCGGATTCAATAACTTATTGATATATTTGCTATGGAGTAAGTAGTTTGCATCTGGAACAATAAAATCTAGAAGATAGGAGTAAAATTTTGATAAAGTTTATTAATATAACTATTTTTATTTTGTTCCCAAAATAAAACTTGTTTAGGATAAAGCTAATAAAATATAAAACCATAGAACTTCATCTTTTACTAGAGCAGATGAGAAGAATTATAATTTTGTTTGAAAAAACATGTTTTTTCACCTCTCTTTCTCGTAAGAAAAATGGCTCAATTAACTGCTTCATTTTCGATTTATAATAAGTTGCTCAAAATATGAGTAAAATATAGAACAGTTCTAAAATAAAACTAAGTATGTTTTCTTTCCAAAAGCAGACTTATCCAATGTTATTTAAAGAATAAAATAATAAAAACTTATCAAAATAGAAGTTATTAAGTCATCTTTGAGAAAGAAAGCATGTTAGTCATATTTTCCAACTTTGTTCATATTTTAGTCCTATCTGAGCAGTTTTTGTAAAGAGAAAGTGATAAGATGGGATAGTACGTGAAAAAGTAAGTTGAATTGGAGAAGTCCAATGCAACAGGTTCAATACATTTTTACAGCGAAAAAATTGATTTTGCAATCCGTAGTTTGGAATATACGGAGTATTAAACTTTGAAACCCAGTTAGAAATACGTTTCTTCAAAGGAAGATTAAATAATAAATTTATGATTAAATATAAGGAATAAATGACTTTGAGTCACTTTTTTGGAAAAAATTAAAACAGGTCACATTTTTTTTCATTCATTTTAGTAATATTGGAATAAAAAGACCTTTATTTGTGCAACTGAATTTTTTAGTCTTTTAGTTGTTAGATTAGTTTCCTTTAGAAAATTATTTAGTTGAGTTTGTACTTCGATTAAATATTTGCTTACTTATTACCTATTATTTATTATTAATCGTATATGGGGATGTAATTTTTTGTTTATCAAATATTTGCTTATTTATTAGAAGGTTTTTCAAAAATATTATTCAAATGAAATTTATTTACAAATATATGACTAATAGTTACTATTGTATTACTTCATAGTCACTTAAATGTAAAAATTGAACATACGTTATTATCACTAAATTACTACTATAGCTAGCAACTACAATTACGTGCCACATTATTGTAAATAATATTTATTTTAATTAAATGTAAGTAATTGTTTCTATTTATTATTTCATATGACATTGTAAGTTTTGTGGTTAAGGAAAAAGTAAACATGATTTAGGTTACACAAATAGAAATAATAAACTAAAAAAACTTAGTCATCAATCAGTTGTTGGTCGTCCCATTCTATAGATCACTAAGTAAGGACAAAATATTATCCACCAAACATTGTTGAGAAAGAGATATAAATCTCGTGTTTGGGAATGACTGTGAAAAAGTATTCTCTTTATATTAATAGTATCTTGTGCATTTTGCATGTCTAATAAGGATGCTTTCTTTTGGATTGAAATTTGCTGGTCTGGTTTGGTCTGGTCTGGTCTGAACTGGTCTGGTAAACGTTTGGTCTCAGTGTATTTTATAACTACGAAATTCTGGTCTGGTCTAGTGATCTAGTCTGGGACTGAAAACAGTCCAAAAGAAAACATCCTAAATCACTGCAAGGGCCCGGGCACCCCCTGTCCTTAGGGTGGTTCTGCCACTATTTTCTAGGACACTTACACTACTCACACCACTCACTACAAATACACTATGCTTGAACGCAACGATCGAACTAACAACTATGATGGTCGGAAGACCTACTACGCAAAAAAAAAGATTCTACCATTAAACACATGCCACACAACAGTACTCTTTACTGATGCTGTGAGAATGATTAGCACCCCCGCTACCAGATCATTATCTTGAGTCCACCATAATGACAATGGTGCATTCTCCAATAGCCGCAAATGCACAGAGCTCAAGACTAACCCAAACCATTGAAAACGGTCCAATCCCATCCCAACCACAACCAATCATTACCATCATTACCCATTTGATTATTTTACCCAAAATCCACAAACACCAACCATTTCTTTGGGAACCCAGGATATCGAACTAGTATCCTCCCCTGATCAACGCATTGACCCTAACATTGAACCCCTATCTTCCCTAACCGAGATCATGTACATTTGCCTACTCACTGAACCTAACATTGCACCCAGCCAACACAAACTTCTCCATCTTCTTGAGACCGAGTTTACATGTAGTGACAGTCTCTGAGGCCATAAACGTTCACATGAGGGCCCCGATGACTCAGCTTCTTATGATGGGGAGAACAAAAGGCAACAGACACTCGCGCATGGTGCATCATCTAGCCATTCAACACCTCAATTAAACCAACCCTCTTCATCCAACCAACAACCCCAATCCTCCCAACAACCTATAACCAAAGCCATCCTTCTAACCTCAGGCGCGGTCACGCCAGATAGATCGCTCTTAGGCTCATCTTTCATTGATCTAGACTCAGGAATGAGCGGAAGTACTGAGGTTGGCACTTCAAGTACACCAATTCTATCAGGCTATACGTCAGAACAAGCTTCTGACGTGATGATAACGGGCAATTCTTGTAATCTTGGATCTACTTTTGACAGGTCATCACAGCAGCCCATCTCACATACTCCAGCTCCTAGTGTCCATGATCAATTCGACGGTTACATTCTAGATCCCAAGTGGAATGACTGGGATGCTCTCAGATAAGAAGCTGAACAAACCGACATGCAAAGAGTATTCTACTTCAGAGAATTGCTAGGTAAA